CTTTGTTTTGCTTCTACACAGTAAAAGACAATTAGACAAGAGTCCGCCACTTTTTTTGCCTTGAATTTTAACTAGATTTGGATCATAATTCATAGGTGGCAAAATCTATTAATTTCATATGAGTGATATTACATTTCTAGTAGTTCTTATAGGTGCTAAAATTTTATACAAATTTCTCATAATTGGAAAAATAGGATACATCTTATTATTGAAAATAATGATGTTCAAATTATATGGCACTCAAATAGTTTCATTATAAACAATCCAATGCTATTAATAATGTATTGTAGCATCTGACAAAAATATATATATTGCAAGAAATTGTAAAAAATTGAAGACAATTTAGTGACAACAATATGTTATTACTAATATATTAAAAGTTATAATGACAACAATAAGTCGTCACTAAACAAATATCAGTTACGACTAGAGAAAGTCGTCAATAAATAGTGCTAGTAACAGTGATGTCACTAAAGACCAATTTTCTTGTAGTGATGGCTGCTTGTCTTTGTCTGTTTGTTTATAATCAATCCAATTGCGCAAAGAACCAGATGGTTTTCAATATTAGCCGAGGGACAACAGTTGAAGTTAGATAGATGAAGATGGTTTTCAAGGTGCTTGGATTCCAATAACTTTCTTTTGGCTGAGATAGCTTGTTTGAGGAGAGGTGAGAGAGATGAGAAGAAGAAAATTTTCACTAAGTCTTTTGGCCGCCAAAATGAAACTTTGGAGTATTTCACTAAGTGTTTTGGCAAATGAATCTTCCGACAAAATCAAACACTGTCATTTTGTGTCTTTTTTTTTTGTACATCTCACATTTTCTCAAGTGTCATGATAGATAGTCTAAAGGCACATTATTATTTTTATATTAGATAAAATAAAAAATATATAGTATATATTATTGAGTTGATAATAAGTGTCATGATAGGATTACTATAATGACACAAACTAGAAAGTGTCCTTATAGGCATGTCAGGAAAGGTCATTTTTGTTGTAGTGATTGTAGCAGCAAAAATGGTAATAAAGAAGCTTGGGCAATGAGAGGAAGGGGGGAAAATTGGACATAGGGGCAAAATTGGAGCTTTAAATATTTTTCAATATCAAATGGAGAAAAATGGATACTTTTCAATAGTCAAAACTAGTGTAGCTTAACAGAGGAGGAAAAAGTTCGACAAAAATAACGTTAAGGAGAAAAGTGCAAATCAAATAAAACATTAGGAGATTTTTGAGTATTTGATCCTTCATATTTCTACACTACAATCTAAATATTTTTTTATACGAGTTGACGAACACGCAACGCATGTTCAATAGTTAAACTTTTTAAATTATTCCTCAGCATAGTAAGATAATTTCAGCAGTAAATTTGATCCAATTTTGTTGGATGAATTATATAGAGTCAACCAAAATTGGTTTTCTCCTCCATCATGGTTTGTGAATATTGACCAAAACTCCAATCTAAATCAACTATTGCCCCTTGCCATATTGTACCTAAACACCTTGTGAACACTGTTATCCATAGATTAGATATTGTACTCTTTAAACTTTAAACCTAAAACCAAAACTCCAGGTCAATTGATCATATTGTATGGGGATTTCAATTGCTTTCTTCATCCTATGGACCAACCTAATTAACATTGGATATTCTTAGATATTAAAGTTACTTCAAGCCAATGACCATGCCCATAATTGAGTTCTTGATAATTTTATTGATGTGTGACGGTAAATGCTATTATCGAAAATATTAATAAATCCCATAGAAATAAGTTCACTTAAGTTAGCCGCCTTTGTATTTTATTGTCATGTTAGAGAGGCGCTTCTAATTTAATCACAATTTCTGCTGGAATCGTTGTATAGTTTATACCGTTAATCCTCAGGATATTTAATTAAGGGATAATTTCAGAAACCTCCCCTGTGGTTTATGACAATTTCACTGAACTCTTCTAAGGTTTGGAAAATTATACCTACCTCCCTTGATTTGACAGTTTTAGAAACAAAACCTTAAAATAATATCGACTTGGTCAAATTTTTAAATGAATGTCCAAAAATGCCCTGTGTAATGAGTTTTAATTTACTTTTCTATACAATTATAAGATTATCTAGTATAATTATAAGAAAAGGTACCAAAATTTTCATCTCCACACCTACTATTTGATAAACAACTATAATAATAATTTTATTACTATGATAGAATACTTTTGGTGGTATTTTATTATGGATTTAAACTTATAAGATAGAAAAAATGTTGAAAAAATTCATTTAAAGTTTATGAATTTTTTGAGCAGTGCGATTATCACAATTCAATAGTGGTTTTGGATATTTTCTTTTGATTTATTGTTAATTTTAATACCAAAAATAGAAAAACAAAGATTAGCAAAACCATTGGATTGCATATAAAGTTAATTTATCAAAAAAATCACTAGTTTGATATTTGGTTACAATAAAAACTAGAGATAATAATGGTAGTTCTATAGTTTTATTGACAAAAAATATAAAAAAAAGGAATGAGAAGGAAAAGAATTTAAAAAAATAATTTTAAAAGCCATTCTAAGTATCAACATACCAAACAAGGGAATTTCATCAAAATATTTAAGGGTAGTATTGTCATTTTAAATGATAAGGGAGGTATGTGTAATTTTTAAAATCTCGAGGGAGCTAAATGAAATTGTTAAAAACATCAAGAGAGGTTTCTGAAATTATCTCTTTAATTAAACCTACAAACCTTAACTTAATAGAAGTCATATGAGCTTTTCAGATTCATATGTGACCTTGTGCCAAATCTTGGACTCATTAGAATTAAGAAATTTAAGTAAAACTTGCTTTAGCAGTGTTATAGTGTAGAGATTACGATGATTTAATATTTGTTTTAGAGATCTGAAATCATATTCAACATTGGACAATAAGAAAATGTTCTTGTAATAACTTATCCTAATGTTATATGTCACAGCTGAGAATATTACAGAGCATATTTTACTGGAGGATTTGGTGAACCCCTCCCAATGTTTTCATTCAATAAAGTAGCCAAAGAAGAAGGATGAGGACGACAAATAATTGTTATACTTTATTGTACTTTTAGTGTTCGGATGAAATACCCAACACATCACATCACATGTATATGTGAGCCAATGTTTTAAAACCCGGACCGTCAAGCAAACCGGTGAAGTGAAAGGGTCGAGGTTCAACCGGTCGGACCGGTTCAACCCCGGTTCAATAAATAAATAAATAAATAATATATATATATATATATATATATATATATATATATATATATATCCTAATTTGCATCTCCTGTTAGTGTACTATCTACATGACTCTCCACGAACAGCAGAATTAGAGTTGAATGTAAATGCAAGTTTCCTATATCAGGAAACACACACACACACACACACCTATGCACAGAATAAGATATAAATGCTAAACTACAATTAACATAAAACTATAAAAGCAATATCCAACAATTAACACACACAATTAACATAGTTATCCAACTTACATGTTCAATTGTCTAAATATTAGAATTAACAAAAAACAATACAAGTCTAGAAAACAATCAAAAAGTCCAAACAAGTCCAATTTCCGAGGCTTCTATAATCTTCTTTGTCATTCTGGGACAACAAAGCTTCAAAAAAAGCCATCTTGATAAGTCGTCATCATCATCCAAAACCATTATATGAATCACTGACAAGTGATAAAGTATAAAATCATATTAGTTTCATCACACCAACTGATACAAATCTTAAAAATAAAAATAAAAGAGTACAAATAATTCTATACCAATTACCATTTGAACATTTAATGCCAATCATCATCTTCATCATTAAAAAAGTTTCGACGCTGAAATGTTTCTAAATCAACATCTTCTGCTTCATCTTCATTATCTAAAAAATCAACATATTTAATTATATACATATTCAACAATTGAATATCATATCATACTAGCTTTATTTTTGCATCAAACTAATGATTTATGTCAAACTAACCTTCAAGTTGTTCAGAATTTGAACATTGACCATGAATTGGAAGTTCTTCAAGCTCTTCCTCTAACTCCTCATAATCAAGCTCCCCTTCTTGTTCTTCTTCAACCACCCAAAATTCTGTTTTATCAATTGACTCATAATCAACGGGATCATACGATCTCTTTTGCTGATTATGCCTACAACATATATATATACACACAACATATACACTTAGTTAGTACTAAAATATTTTCTTAAAAAGAATGAAATGTCATTTATAAAAATAAACCATTTACATATACCTATACTGCAAACGCAAATTGTAATGCACATATACAAGATCATTGAGCCTTTGATGCTCCAACCTATTCCTTTTCTTAGTATGAATACGTTCAAAAACACTCCAATTACGCTCACATCCTGAAGAAGAAGCTGTTTGACTCAAAACCCGAATTGCAAGTTTTTGTAAGTTGGGAGCATCACAACCAAAGAGCTTCCACCAATTCTCTGTCATATTCAAAATTTAAATATAAACAAAATATTTATAAATTAGATATATATATATATATTAGAGAGATTCAAATGCTAGAAAAATATAAATTACCTGGTCTATCTTTCTTGCTAGTAAGAATAGCAAGTTTTCTGCCAAAACTTCCCTCCCGCTCTCGATACATTCCAATTTCTCTTGTTAAATTTTTCACACTACACCAATCCACCTTTGATTCTATGTAATCCAACAAACCATTTGTAATTTGTAGATGTGTAGAGAATGTGGCAGTGTCATATTGAAAAGCGGGATTTAAAAAATATGCCGTAGCATGCAAATTTTTCCTCAACATCCTATCCCATCGGTCATTGATGATATCAATGTTAGGCTTATATAGTCTTTCACTACTCCTGAACAGCTTCTTGATTCCAGTAATTGCTCTAAACATACCTTCATACACATACCCCAAAGAAGGCCTTTCATCAGTGTCACGAACTCTCAACAACCAAATAATAGGACCCATTATTCTCATCGTAATCAAACAATTATTCCAAAATCTATCATCCAAAACAATTTGTTTGACCTCTTTTCCTTTGTTCATTTTCAAGAACTTTTTTGTAATCTCCGCTAGTGACTAAAGCTTGTAAGTTGTCTTTGTGATCATGTAAGCTCTTTAGTGCAATAAAAGTGGTGGCAAATCGAGTCTCCCCCGGATGAATAATCTCCCTCCACCTATTAGTTTTTCTCAGCCAATTTAGAACATATTTATGATTATACACAAAAACAGTTATTGTAGCAGCAAGAGCCACTAGAGATTTAACAGTACCCATTTCACCAATATCCTTCAAAATCAAATTGATATAATGGGCAGCACATGGAGACCAGCAAATAGTTGGATATCTTTCATTTAATAAAGTTCCAGCAGCCTTATAATTGCTAGCATTATCAGTGACTAAATGCACCACATTTTTTGAACCAACCATTTCAACAATTTCAACAAACAGATTGCACAAATTTTCTGCATTTGTCACAATGTCCGATTCATCTATAGACTTGATAAAAGATATACCCTTAGGACAATAAACCAGAAAATTAATCAATGGTCTTTGTCTACTATCTTTCCATCCATCACCCATTATAGTGCATCCAGTTTCAGCCCAAGTATTTCGAAATGAATCAACAACTAACTGCACATCTTTCTTAGCATCTCGCAACAAAGTGACTTGCAAAGAATGATAAGATGGAGCTTTATAACCATGACCCATTGATGCAATTTGATCGATAGCTTTTTGAAAAAATGGAGAATTAACAGCATTAATGGGAATACATGCATCATAGAACCAAAGAGCAATGGCCATATCAGTATTTTGCCATTTATCCTTACTTTGCAAACAAGCTTTGATAGTAGGTTGAGCACTATCACGTCCACCCTTAAAGAAAGCACGAATACCTGTAGGGGCAGTGGTTTTTCTCTTTCCTTTACCTAATGATGTACCAGCCTCATTCATTGAAATTTCCCTTATTTGAGGAGGTGGAACCTCTTGCACTTCATCACCGACAAATTCGTGCACTGGTTGATCAAAAGGACTTTCAACCCCAAATCTCCTCTTTTTTCTTTAGATTTTTTATCATTCTCTTGCAAACATGTTAATATTGCAAACCTCACTGCTGGATCAACATTTGGACATGAAGTAACACTGTCCGTTACTCCTGCTAAGTGTTGCTTCATTCGGTGGATGCCACCCCCATGAAACACTTTAAAACAATAAGTGCATGTCATGGTTTTTCTTCCTTGTGCATTTCTGCCCTCAGAAACATATCCCCATGCTATATCTATCTTTTGCCTATGACCTTGGGGCTGACTTGCAGATCCCTCACTAGTGAATGCTCCCCCCGGTGAACATTGTGAGTTACTACCGCTACCAGCCTCCATCCTAAAATGAGATATTTAAAAATAACTAGTCTTAACAAATAATTAATATACACAAACTGAAACAAATTACTAAGGCTATTCGTATTTGGGGTTAATGGAGACAATGAAACAACCGTTTAGCACGAGTGAAGTTAATTCCCTAAGCCTTGTGCATTTCTTGAGGGTGTTAAGTATCTTCACGATAACTGGGTTTTGCACAGAGATTTAAAGACATCAAATATACTTTTAAATAATAGCACAGAGATTTAAAGACATCAAATAACTTTCATCTGTCATGTTACTGTAGATTTTTGTATGGATTTCAAGCTAATTTTCTTCTCTGTGGCCTTAAAGATCATTGTCGTTTTGTTTTGCAGATATTCAAAATTTTTCGCACGCCTAATGACACAATCTGGCCTGGGTTTTCGAAGCTTCCAGGGGTCAGGGTTAACTTTGTCAAGCATCAGTATGTATTTCATGTGATTTTGATCTGGCTTTCTGGCCTTCGTTGGTGACAGTTTCAGTTCCCAAATAAATGAAGCTTAAGACTATTAGACTATTATTAGAATCATGTTTCGCATGCAAATTTCATTACCGAATATCAGTACCGTAAACCAATTCGTATTGAAAAAAGAAGATAGAAGCGCAGCAGGCGTATGAAGTAAAATACCTGAGATAGGGTTGCGAGAAAAGCTGATGAAGATGGTGTGAAGTGTGAACAAGTTTGGACTTCCACTATTAGTAGATAAGCTTGAATTCCACAATTTTTTTTGGCTTAGAATCGCAGCAGCAGGCGGAAAAACTTCAGGCTTCGGTGCTTCCTTTTTGCTTATTGCTATGGATCAAGATTGGAGTTTGGAGTTTGGACTTAGTAACATCAAAACATAGAAGCAGAAATTAGCACATTCATAGCACTTTCAAAGTCCATACACTTTTTACCATTTGGCTTCTCTCTGTTGTCTTTTCTTTCTTCCTAGTTCCCTCTACAAATTACTCCAATCGATCGCTCGATAAATCTTCCATCACCATGGATCCACAGGATTTTTCCACCGGCGGCAGGCTGTCTCCGAGAAGAGAACTACAGGGCCCACGTCTAGCTCCACCTAAAGTAAGCAAAGACTCCCACAAAATCAAGAAACCACCAGTTGCACCGCAGCTGCACCACCTCAATCACCCTGCTCAGCCTCATTTTAAGCCCACAGTCGACAACGAGCACCGCCAACCAGTGGTCATCTACGCCGTTTCCCCAAAAGTGATCCACACCACACTTTGGAGAAGGGATTAGAGTTAAGCCATTAAGGGGAGAAGGAAATAGAGATGGCAGGCAAGGCAATTTCAGCAATTGTAGAGAGAGGAACCAGGAAGACCGAAGCGGCGAAGTGAAGTGCGAAGAGGAAGACTGAAGCGAACTAGCGAAGTGAAGAATGAAGATTAGGGTTCGGTCAAAATTGAAGTTTTTGTCAATTTTGACTCAAAAATTGGAGAACCGCGGTTCACGGTCCGACCCGATTTTGAAGATGTGAACAGTTTTTTACGATTTTGACCGGTTTCTTATAAAAGTCAACATAAGCTATAGACCGGACCGGACACATGTCCGGGTCACGGTCGAACCGGTCGACCCGGCTAGTCCGGTCCGGGTTTGAGAACATTGATGTGAGCAAATGAACTAATGTCAATCACTTAATTGTGATCAAAATTCAACAGAGAGGACTCAAACAGTTCGAAATACGTGTCAAACCTTATGTGGTGCACCATTAAGTTAGTTTCTGTATTGTAAATTTTCCATATTGGAAAAAGAATCGCCAGAGTATCACTCTATGTATATAACATTTATTAATATGCCTGACATGGTTGAGGGTGTTGGTTAGGGACTTGATGTCCCGCCTAACAGACCAGAGTTCAAATATGGTTGCTAGGTTTCGCGGTAGGGAGGGATTAGGTAATGCTGTTATACGAGTTGAACTGTTCGTTTGTTCTACTCGTTCAGTTTTGTTTATATTCGATAATGGTTCATTCAAAATTTTATACAAATCGAATTTAGACAATTGCTTGATTCGTTTAGCCTCATTCATATTCGATAACGATTCGTTCAAAATTTTATACAAGCTGAGTTCAAACAAACTTTTTGGCTCGATAAGTAATCAAATGAGCATGAATCTTGTTCATGAATTTAAATGATTGTGTTAGAAAACTAGAATGGAAAAATTGTGATATATTTATCTTGATCATAATACAATAAGATGTCCCTATATATAGGTATATACACTAAAATACTTTGAATCTAGACTAACTTTTACCTAAGGAAAGATCTATAATTGATCCTAACTAGACGTAATTGATACAAGAGAATCATATAATTGATACAAGAAAATTATATGTCATGTTGACATGTTTACTTTATCACCTTCCCTCAAACTTAAGATGGTTGCAAGGAAACCAACTTAAGCTTGTTCTTAAGATGATGAAAACGATCAAAAGATAGCGATTTGGTATGAATATCCGCAATCTGGTCCAATGAGGAAACATGGAAGAGACTCAAAGCACCATGATGGAGATGGTGACGCACAAAATGACAATCAATGTCAATATGTTTGGTGCGTTCATGAAACACATCATTATGTGCTATCTGAATAGCACTATGATTATCACAATAGATACGAACAGGTGAAGAGTGAGTAACACCCATGTCTTCAAGTAGCCAGTGAAGCCAAACTAATTCTTGAGATGTATTAGCCAAGGCGCAATATTCAGCCTCAGAATTGGAGTGAGCAGTGACCACCTATTTCTTACTATACCAAGAGATTAAAGAATCACCGAGGAAAAAACAAAAGCCAGTAGTTGAACGTTGATCGGTGGGGTCACCAACCCAATCAGCATCAGAGTAGGCACGAAGTTGAAGAGGAAAATGTGCTGAGAAATGAAGACCATGAAAAAGAGTACCCTTGACATAGCGAAGAATTCAGAGGATAGCTACATAATGAACTAAATGAGGAGCCCTCATGAACTAACTAACAATATGTATGGCATAAGCAATATCAGGCTGGGTAACAGTCAGATAGACAAGACCACCAACTAATTGTCGATATCGCATAGGATTATCCAATAGAGTGCCATCACGAGGAGTGAGATGTGTGTTTGGCTCAATCGGAGTTGAAGTAGTCTTACTATCTGTGACCCCAGTTGAAGCCAAGAGATCTGAAGCATATTTAACTTGAGATAGATAGTAGCCACTAGAGTCCGAGGAGACTTCAAGACCCAAAAAATAGTTAAGAGAGCCGAGATTCTTCATTTCAAACCTAAGGTGAAGGGATTGCTTAAGTTGTTGGATAATATCCAAATCATCACCTGTAACGATCCTATCATCTACATAAAAGAAGAAGTAAGATAGTGCCAGCAGCAGTGCATCGAAGAAAGAGAGCAGAATCATGAGAACTAGAGATGAAACCAAAACTATGAAGTGTAGAACTGAGCTTGGCAAACCAAGCTCGAGGTGCCTGCTTAAGTCCATATAGAGCACACCTTCATTAAGATCACCAATGAGAAATGCATTGTTCACATCCATTTAGAAGAGAGACTGGTGACGAGTAGCAGCAATAGCAATAAGAGTGTGAACAGTAATAAGACGAGCAACTGGAGCAAAGGTATCTTCATAATCAACACCATATTCCTGAGTGTAACCTTTAGCCACAAGGCGAGCTTTATAACGCTCAATGGAACCATCAGAATGTGTCTTAACTTTATAAATCCATTTGCAATCAATTGGAGTTTTGCCTAGAGGTAAATCAACTAGATCCCAAGTATGTGTTTTGAGCAAAGCATCAAGCTTTTCTTGCATAGCTTTTTGTCACAGTGGATGAGAAGAAGCTTCACGAAAAGATGTTGGTTCATGTAGAGCAAATAAACCAGAAAAACATTGATAGTCATGAAGATAGGTTGGTTGAGTTCTTATTCGAGAGGGATAACGAGGGGAGTCAAGAGTAGATGGATCATGAGCAGAACAGTCAAGAGTTAACAAATCCTCTGGTAAAGACAATTCGTCAAGAGGCTTAAGTGACTGTTCAGAATCTGGAAAAGAATTTTTTGGAAAGAGATCAGCTAAGGGATTGGTAAGATAAGAAGGTAGAGAGAAGGAAGGTAAATGAGTTTTAGGTATCTCAGTGAAGAATTTATGTTCCCAAAAAATGACATTTCGGGAAATATGTAACCTATGAGAAATGGGATCATGATATCTATAACCCTTATGAGCTATCCCACAGCCAAGAAAACAACAGAGCACGAGGCTCTAACTTGGATCGCTTATGCAATTGAAGAAGAACAAAACAAGCACAATCAAAAACTTTAGTAATCAGGGACAATATCAAATAATGTTTCATAGGGTGATTTGTTTTGAAGAACAGAAGACGACAATCAACTGATGTTATAGACGGCAGTAAGCGCAGCTTCCCCCCAAAATGGTTTAGGTAACAAAGCAAAAATGAGTAAAGATCGAACGGTATCCAAGATGTGACGATGCTTTCGTTCCATTCTACCATTCTGTTGTGAAGTGCTCGGACAAGATAAATGGGGTAAGGCATCTTGAGTGTTGAATATAGTTTC